TATATACTAACGTAGTTTCTTTTTTCTGTTGAGCCGTTTCCTTGTTTTCATGCTCACCGTGCTCACCACTACTGAAAATAGGATTTCTGCGGCAAGGACTATTACTTCCACAATTATGAAAATTTTCACTCGAAATTTTATACGAATTTACTTAAGGACACGTACGTTGATAAAATTTGTATTGTATTTAAATAAGACAATGGTAACATGCTAAAAAAAAATAAATAAAAACCCTGTATTTCTCTGGAGAAAAAGGTATATAACCCCTTAAAAAATACTATTAATGGGTAATATAATCAAGTTGTTGAACGTAATAGGACCATTTGATGTCCAAATTTTGCATTTAATATTTTAAATAGGAAGACGAAATATAATTTTATTGATCACATTTGTGTGAGCAACCTTTGTATGCTATTTCTATGTACCGCAATTTTTTTTTTTTTTACAAACTTTTAATTTATAAAATGCAATTAGAAACAGTCCACTTTTCTGCCTATTTTGCTGATGAATAGTTATACCATTTAATTCTTTCAGAAGTTTATTATACAAATTTTCTGAAGTGAAACTTCTTTAGGCGCATGAGGGTAAAATTTTTACATTTGTAATTGCAACGGAAGTGACGAAAAACAAAGAGAGAGAGCGATCGAGACCGTTTGAGAGAAAGTACGACATGGCGAACTTACCGTGAAGCAACTAGCGACGAAGTGAGGATAGGGAGCGAGCAAGTGAGAAAAATAGAGAGAGAAAGATCACGCACAGTGCCATGGTATAATAAGTACAAGGGAGTGTCGTCGGCTGCGTCACTCCCCTATTGGGCACTACAATGAGCGCGAGTGAGAGGAAGTTTTCTTATAAGTGCGAAAGGAACAAGAGAAGATGAAGTCGTTTTACCCTTATGCTGGGCATGGGGGTTTAAAAAAAACTGTTATATGTATAATGAATACTAACTGTTCCGTAATTTTTGGTTTGTGCTCAGAGATGTTCCTCAGGATTCGCTCCTATATTATCCCCCCTTTAAAACATTTTTCTGCAATAGTATATATTACGCCTTGTATGTGCTTACTGCAATAATTGTAACAAGTATTTTTTCATAAGCACACAAGGGCTTACGTTTTGAGAAAAAATCGTCCGCGTACAACTTCTCTCGTAGCAATAGGGGAGTAAACCCGAACAACTCTGCCGGCGACGAGATTAATATATATAATAGTTTTAATATTTACAAATAACATGTTGCATTTAAACTTGCCACTTGTGATTTAGTAATTCAGTAAATCATTTTCCATAAAACAAAAATATTTGATATATTCGATTTCCAAAATTTTAAGTTCAGAAACAAAAAAAGACAGCAAGACAGTCTTATGTCCGGAATAATGCTTATGTAGCAATTGTTTCGGAGACAGTAAATAACGAACACGGAACAACAAAAGCAATGTCTTTGACCGCTTCCGAGAGAGCGCGCTCTCTGTCACCAGCACTCCTAAGCTCAAGCAGCGCTGCCATGACCCCGTCGTGGAGCTCCCAATGCCCATCTCCACTCTCACCACTCATTGCACTGACTACGTCAGCTCTGGCGCTGACCAGCACGGTGCCCTCTTTTACAACTATTATTTCGACGACGACAACAACAGCTTCAACGTCGATGGCAAATCTGTGGCCGATATTATCATCGCAATTGAAATGTGTCTCTGCTGCCTCTCTTCCACAAACTGCGCGTGTACAGACCGGGATCGATCGGTATGTACAAATAAAAAGAAAGCTAAGCCCACAAAAAAACTAATGCAAACCTGCCAAAAGTATCAAAAACTTCAGGCAACAACAACAAGGCAACTTCTAAAAATAGATTTGCTATACTTGGTGACCTTGGAGAAGATGAGGGTCAACCGCCTCAACCCACCAAAGATGTAAAGCCACTCCCTATCTACTTCAGGGAACACAATTGCTCGGAGCTTATTAACAAGCTTAAACAAAAAATCGGGCCAAATAACTTTTATATTACCAACTTAAAAGAGGTAATATATCAGAAACCAAACTCCAAATAAAAAATGAAAGCAACTACCGCACTGTAACGAATTTCCTCGAACATGTGCCGGTAAATTATTACCGGTAAATTACTAGCTCAAAAGTAGCAAAGGACTACAAGTTGTAGTAAAAGTTGTTCGATGGGTATTTCGCTCTGGCAGCGAGCCATCTTTTCGATTTGGTATGGGCTGGTGAGAATGCACAACTTCAGGCTGAGTATAATTTACTGGCACTGGCGATGCTCCAGAGTATCGAAGAGCTCTAGCAAAGGAGACTCCGGGTGCATAGAATCAACCGTCCCAGTAGCTGACATAGCTGAGGGACTAAAAGAACAAGGTTTTGACGTTAAACATGTAACCAATATAATCAACAGGGCAAAAATCCCTCAGCCGCTATTTAAGATTGAACTGGCGCCAGAGACTGCACCTCTTAAGAAAAATGCAGTCCACCCTATTACAAATTACAATATCTTCTCCACCGCAGAATTACCGTAGAGAAGCCACACAAGCGAAACGGCCCGGTACAGTGTACTGACTGTCAGGAGTTTGGGCACACAAGGAGCTACTGCACCTTGCGATCCGTCTGCGTCGCCTGTGGTGATTTGCACTGCATAGATGCATGTCTGAGAAACAAAGAAGACCATGCATCGAGAAAATGTAGTGACTGTGGTGGAAACCACACAGGCAACTATAGGGGCTGCCCTATCTATAAAGAACTCCAGACACTTCTGACCCAGAGGCGCAGCAAACCAACTACCGTTCAACATGTTGCTCAACCAAACTACTTCGCGCCATCAGAAACAACACCCGGAGTCTCCTTTGCTAGAGCTCTTCGATACCCTGGAGCATCGCCAGTGCCAGTAAATTATACTCAGCCTGAAGTTGTGCATTCTCACCAGCCCATACCAAATCGAAAAGATGGCTCGCTGCCAGAGCGAAATACCCATCGAACAACTTAACCCACTACTCAGCAAAACCAGCTTTCCCTCCACAAGCACATATCGGACTTGAACATACACTAGATACGCTTACAAAAATCATGCTAGCGATACAAGGTACCCTGCAAGACCTAACGCGAAACCAAAATCTTCTTTTGGAGCTTTTGATTGAACAATCTAAATGAATCCCTTAAAAATATGTAAACATCATGCTTCTCTCGGAAACTCATCTAACCAATAAAAACAATTTTTATCTCACCGGCTATGTATTTCGCGCGACCAACCACCCAGATGGCAAAGCGCATGGAGGCACCGGCATTCTTGTCAAACAGCGCATAAAGCATCATCCTCTTGACACATTCGCTACTAACTACCTGCAGGCCACATCCCTACGTATCAATATAACCAGCGGTCCACTCACACTATGAGCTGTGTATTGTCCCCCACGATTTAATATTCCAGAGAATGAATTTTTGGGCTTCTACAACTCACTAGGTAACTACTTTATAGCTGCCGGTGACTATAATGCAAAACAGCGTTTTATTAACCCCAAAGGACGCCAACTATACAATGCTATTATCAAACCTAGTAATAAGCTAGATTTTGTTTCACCGGGTAGGCCTACATACTGGCCAGCAGATCCGAATAAACAACCAGGCATTATTGATTTTGCCGTAACTAGGATAGTGCCTCCCAGGCTGATACGCGTTGAAACACTGGAGGAACTGTCATCTGATCTCTCTATTTGAACACCCACAGCTTGTAAAGCGACCGCAATTTCTGACTTCCAATACAACAAACTGGCTAAAGTATAAAAAATATATCAGCTCTCACATTGAAATCGAACCCAATATCTCGTGTGAAGCTGACAGTGAAAACTCACTTAAGCACATAGCGGATGTAATGTCCTCAGCTGCCAAACACTCCACACCTGAACCTTCAGCTCCATCCCTCCCAAATACTATGCGCACAGGCATGCAGATCCAATCGCTCGTTCAAGAAAAGCGTAGACTTCGCCGAAACTGGCAGACACACCGATCCCCAGCCACTAATAACTGAGAAGAATCAGGCTCAACGTGCCTATATATCACAGCTTTCACCCACTAGCAACAAATTTCCACTCTGGAGAGCGCACCCAAACATTCAACTACCTATAGAACCCGATTTTCCAATTCGATCACCAACAGGTGTATGGGCGTTTAGTGACGAGGAAAAGGCCAACATCTTCGCCTCTCACTTACAAAACGTCTTCCAGCCTCATCCGCCGGCTAATCAATTTACAGTTTTTATGGAATCAGTCTCATTACTTGATTGTCATACCTCGTATAAACTACAATGTCAAGTATTTACCATAGAAATGTCAAAATTAATGAAAAATTGACAAAACTTGTATGAATTAAACTAACAATTGCAGAAATTGGTAATTATAGCCCTGTGATGACTGCTTCGGTTCGCCGAAGCTAAACAATAAGTTTTACCATTAGTTCTATATACATTTCATTCAAAACTGAAAAGTCTTAAAAACACCATATGCGAAGAATCAGGCGCGTATGATGAAAAAAAATACGTTGTAATTTTTAATAGTCGTTCGAACCATCCAGTTTGACTTAAATACTGCCTGCAATAACTACACCCCTTTGATTAAGTTTCATCGACATTACTTTAAAGCTGAGCGGCTAGTTTACATAGAAACAGACCGACGGACGGATTGTACATTTCTTATTCGATTGAGACGGTGATGCTGATAAAGAAAATATATATTTTTGGGGGTTGAGGTGTCTCCTTTACTGCGTTTCAAACTGAAATTATAGTACCCTCTGCAAGGGTATTAAGCTGGTATTTTTAAAGGTCGGACAACATTTCAACAGTAATGTAAAATTCGAATTAAAATTATAAAGATCTTTTAAAAAAAAACTATAGTTTTGTAATGAGTGAAATCGTTTCATAAATTTATGTTCTAATTTCAAGAGTATATAAGCTGCGGCTGACCGAAACCAGCTTCCTTTCTTGATTTTGTTTGAATTAATTTCTATGTTTTTTACAGGTTAAAGAAGCTGAGGATTGCTATAACACTGCATTAAGACTATGCTCAAACCATGCAGATTCTCTTAACAATTTAGCTAACATAAAAAGAGAGCAAGGATACATTGAAGAAGCTACTCGTCTTTATTTAAAAGCTTTGGAAGTGTTTCCAGACTTTGCTGCAGCCCATTCAAACCTCGCTTCAGTTTTGCAGCAGCAAGGGAAATTAAAAGAAGCATTATTGCATTATAAGGAAGCTATAAGAATCCAGCCCACATTTGCAGATGCATATTCAAACATGGGAAATACTCTTAAAGAATTACAAGACGTCAGCGGAGCACTTCAGTGTTACACTAGGGCAATTCAAATTAATCCAGCCTTTGCTGATGCCCATAGTAATTTGGCAAGCATACATAAAGATTCAGGAAACATTCCAGAAGCAATTCAGTCTTATCGTACAGCCCTGAAGCTCAAACCTGATTTTCCTGACGCATATTGTAATTTGGCTCATTGCCTGCAAATTGTTTGTGATTGGACTGATTACGATATTCGAATGAAAAAATTAATAAGTATAGTTGCTGAACAACTTGAAAAAAACCGCTTGCCATCCGTGCACCCACATCACTCTATGCTTTATCCTTTAACACATGACTATCGCAAAGCAATTGCTGCGAGGCATGCAAATTTGTGTTTAGAAAAAGTTAATGTTCTTCATAAAAAGCCATATAATTTTTCAAAGGAGTTATCAAGTAAGGGGAGGCTACGTATAGGCTATCTGAGCTCAGACTTTGGAAACCATCCTACCTCACATTTAATGCAATCTGTGCCAGGTCTTCACGATCGTTCAAAAGTAGAGATTTTTTGTTATGCTTTAAGTCCAGATGATGGCACAACGTTTAGACACAAAATAAGCCGAGAATCGGAAAACTTCGTAGATCTTTCGCAAATTCCCTGCAATGGCAAAGCAGCAGATAAAATTTATAATGACGGTATAAATATTTTGGTTAATATGAATGGCTACACAAAGGGGGCGAGAAATGAAATATTTGCCCTACGTCCTGCTCCAATTCAAGTTATGTGGTTGGGCTATCCGGGTACAAGTGGGGCTAGTTTTATGGATTATATTATTACTGATGCTATAACTAGTCCCATTGAATTGGCTTACCAGTACAGCGAAAAACTGTCTTATATGCCGCACACATATTTTATTGGGGATCATAAGCAAATGTTTCCACATTTAAAAGAGCGGATAATTGTGTGTGATAAGCAACAATCTTCTGTTGTCGATAACGTAACTGTTATAAATGCCACAGATTTGTCACCTCTTGTAGAAAATACAGGTGTGAAAGAAATTAAAGAAGTTGTAAACGCACAAAAACCCGTTGAAATAACTCATAAAGTCGCAGAGTTGCCTAATACGACACAAATAGTAACAATGATAGCTTCTGGACAAGTCCAAACGTCTTTAAATGGTGTTTTGGTTCAAAATGGATTAGCTACTACTCAAACTAACAACAAGGCCGCTACCGGTGAAGAGGTTCCACAAAATATTGTAATTACCACCCGTCGCCAATATATGTTACCAGATGACGCAATTGTATACTGCAATTTTAATCAACTTTACAAAATCGATCCACAAACACTTGAGTCTTGGGTAGAAATTTTAAAAAATGTGCCTAAGTCAGTTTTATGGTTACTTAGGTTTCCAGCAGTCGGCGAACAAAACATAAAAAAAACAATAAGTGACTTTGGTAAAGATGATAATTTAATTTATATATTTTATGATTATAAGACTTAAACGGAACATTTTTAGGAATTTCACCGGAAAGGGTAATATTTTCGAATGTAGCTGCTAAAGAAGAACACGTACGTCGCGGACAATTAGCTGATATATGTCTTGACACACCATTGTGCAATGGACACACTACATCTATGGACGTCTTGTGGACAGGAACCCCAGTAGTAACATTGCCAGGAGAGACATTAGCCTCAAGGTATGTATATATTAGATTACCAAGCACAAATTTGTATATCACTTATATGTTACGTTGTCCATTTACTTAAAATATATACCTATTTTGTTCGTACTTCAATATCAGAAACATGTACAAAAGCGAAAACTGAAGTTAAAAGCCTCGTTTTTTAACAAGTTTTAACAAGGTTTAAAACGTTTTTCAATTTATGGAATTGAATTCTTTACTTCACTTAAGGTTGGGGACTTAAATAAGTTTTGGAATATACTTTAGGCTACACGATACACATTTTATTTATTAAACAATTTCCCAATTGAACAAAACAACTTACCAAAATGACAAGAAAATAGTCTATGCCAAATTAGTTTTTGCATAAACTTGTTGTTATATAAAATAAATTTATACTTACATTAAAAAACTTAGCCCAAAACTATTATTATTATTACTACCTCGACCCAGCTGAATCTAATTGTACCCCCTTTCTGAGCTTAAAGCTTACCCATCAACCCGGTTCTTCCGATAAAGTCAAGGAGCTTTGTTGGGTCGATGCGGAGGTCCCAAGTGTAAGGGACCGGGAAACGAGGGTTCTACTTCTCAGACTACTTAAGGATGGGCAGTCTGAGATTATGTGTAGGCAGGTTTCATCCTCGCTATCACAGAATCTGCATGTCTTGTTGTTTAAAATCTCTATATTAAATAAGTGACTCCTTAGTCTAAAATTTCCGGTAAATAGCCCAGTAATTACCCTAAGTGAATTCTTCCCTAGTGGTATAAGTTTCTTGAACCTCTTCAAGTCATAATTAACGATGAGGATTTTGGCTTGTCTTTGTCCTGTGGTGCTCTCCCAGCAGTGTATTGGCCTAAAGATTTATGGTACTTGATTCGTGGTCCTATTACACCAAGGCCAATGCCTTGGTGTGTTAGGGATCCGTACGTATACCACGCTATGGTGTGACTTGCCATGGAGTGTACTTCCTTCATGGTGGTCCATTCTTTCTTTGTGCTCAAATGAGCAGAGAAATTATTTTCGAAGATGAATTCGATGCGGTCGCTGCCATTACCAGAAGAAGTAATTCTTAACAGGGTGGCTTTTCGCTGTAACTCTACTACGCAGTAGAGCGGAGTGAGTTCCATGAGAACTTCCAGTGCCGCAGTGGGACAGGTCTTCATTGCTCCTGTCATACATACGCACGCCAATCTTTGCAGCTTTTGTAGCTGTTTCTGTGCGGTAATGAGCCTCGCTCTTTTACCACAATTATAATGTATAACTATCCGATAATTTGGGGTGAGGTCCCCCAAGATTTCCCTGCAATTTTCCGACAGGTGAATAGCGTCCTGAGGCGTTTCTCAACTGAATTTTGCATGTGGGTTGCTAACGTTAGTCTTTTGTTGAAGGTAACGCCGAGGTACTTAACTTCCCGGCTTATTGCTACGGGAGTACCTAATAGCATGATTTGTCTCAATTTCTGTAGCTTATACTTCTTAGTAAAAGGAGCAATGACTGTTTTTAAGAGGTTGAGGTTAAGCCCAACTTCCCTGCACCAGTCAAGCGTTATCTTGAGTCCGAGTTGGACAATATCGCAAATCGTTTCTTCAAATTTCCCTCTGGCTGCAATTACTATGTCATCGGCATAGTCCTGGCATTGTATTCCTCTATCAGCGAAATTCCTTAATAGTTCATCTACTAGTAAGCTCCACAGTAAAGGAGATAAAACTCCAACTTGTGGACATCCTCTACTTGTTGCGGCGGTCATTGTGCTATTGCCAATCGTCGCCATTGCTTGTCTGGAGCTTAGCAAAGCTTCAATCCACCTTCTTGTTGTCGCATCAATATTCCTTTTGGCGAGGGCCGCTAAGACGGCATCCCTCTGTATCTAGAAAGGCGCAGATTGCTACTTCTTTGTTGTCTACTGCCCCTTCAAGAGTGTGACAAAGTTGGTACAGTGCTGTGTCTGTTGAACGACCTACCCTGTATGCGTGCTGCGTGAATGCAGCGGACGGTCTTTGAGAACTGTGCTCCTAATATGGTAGTATACCAGCTTTTCCAATGTTTTAAGACAAAACGAAGTTAAGCAAATAGGTCTGAAGGACTTGGGGTCGGTGATGTCTTTCTCTCCTACTTTGGGGATAAAGACCACCCTAGCTCTACGCCTAGCTCTCTTTGTTGTAGAGCGTCAGGCTTTGCTGATAATGTCCCTAGTTTTCCTCGTTCTCTTTTTTGCTCTGTTGAAGAGCCGGCGGGTGACGATGCAGAGCCGTTCCAGGTTGGCGTTCCACCATGGGGCGTCTCTTTCTGCTTTCCATCTGCCAAGAGGGCAACTGTCCTCAAAAGCATTGGCTTTCTTCTCGCAGAGGTTACCCACTGCCTGATCCAATTCTAAAGAATGTCTGGGTATACCTGACGGTTCGTTAGAGAGATTGAGCTCAAGAGAGAACCTGAACCAATCCCAGTTTGTTTTCTTGGGGTTACTTTTGGGGACGTCCCTTGTGTTGTTGAAGTCTAATTCAAATCTAATGATTCGGTGATCCGACATTGATTCCTCTGGCGACACATGCCAGTTCTTGATGAGTGGTCTTAATGACCTGCTCATCAGAGTTAAGTCTAAGACCTCCTTTCTTACTTTAGTAATGAATGTCGGTGTCAAATTCTAGGTTACTATTTATAATAAAATCTATGAGCTGCTCACCTCTGTTGTTGACGTCGGTGCTTCCCCATATCACGTGATGTGCATTAGCGTCACATCCTATGATCAGGGGCATCTTCTTCTTCCTACAGCACTCCACGAGTTCGATGACTTCCGGTGATGGGCATGCTGCATCCCCAGCGAAGTAAGCCCACGCCATGGCTATCGCTGGTGTCGTGCCTGTGCCGCTCAGCGTAACCGCGACACAGTCTCTGCTTAGGAATTCTGAAAAGATATTGTAATAGATATGTTTCCTTATTAATATGCACGCTCTTGGGTGTATACCCCGTTGGTCGCATATTACCTTTGAGTCCTTGGTGTACAGGCCCTTAATGCTCTGGTGACACCACGGCTCCTGTATGAGAGCTAGCCCAAGATGTTGGGTGGTGAACATATTGGCCAGGACGGCGGATACCGCCTTGGCCCGGTGAAAGTTTACCTGGGCTACCTGCGTGCTACGGCCATAATTGGAGCGGGTGGACCCCGCTAACCAATGGCTAACGGAAATTTAAAGGCTTTGCTTATTTTGAAAACCATTATTTTTATTTAGTTTTCTTCTTGTTCTTATTTTATAACCAAATAAAAATTTGGTTTTTTTTCGATTTAATCCATTTAATCGATGTTTTTTCTAAAAAATTGAAAAGAATCGATACACCAAAAATCGATTTTTCCCCAGCTTTAATGGGTGCTTCACAGTTGGTGAAGGGGGCAAGCATTCCTCTTCACTGTATTTCGTCAGGGTGACGTCGGCCTCCATTTCACTGGTAACGGGTGCTCCTCATTCTCACTCCTCACATTCATATCGGTAATAGGGTCTTCCTTTGAGCCCATAGGCTCTCGTGGTTCCTCGACCTCCACTTTGCCATCCGTAGGGCCAGAATGCGCTTCTTTTGCTTCAGCCGTTTTTGCCGCTCTCCTGAGGACATTCACCGTGACCACTTACCGAGACGGTCTCAAATCTAAAGTTGAGCTGATGCCCTTTAGAAACGATCTCATCTCGGGTGAGCTGGTCGATCCCAATAACGAGGAGTGCCCCGCCTCCATCGTTCATTCGAGAGATAACCTAACCTTCCTGGCCTTGATCTCCATTCTGTTCTGGCGTCCCAGCATCATGAGAAGCTCCTCATTGCTCTCTGCGCTTCTAGGGCAAGCCCTTCCACGTTCTTAGCTGGGGCGTCACAGCCCTCAGCCAGTCCGCTGAGTCTTGGTCAAGGCAGTCAATTTGGAGGTATCCAACCCTGAAGTGGATACCTCTGAAGGCGACTGGTGAAGCCCATGCCGACGTGACCACATGATTGCCTTGTTTGTTGAAAACATTCAGATAAAGAACCGTGATTTCTCCCAAAAGTCGTGACCACGAATCTATTTCACATTCGTCCCAAACAAAAATTCTTTTTGCCTTATGCGGATGCCGTTTGACAGTTAACCTGTTCGCTATTAGTAACCTGCAACCCCCTTGTGGCTATGTAGTTACCCTAAGAACAAGTTCTCCGGCCCCATAAATTGTATATATTTTTTATCTTAATTAACATTTTGGAATCTGTGCAACTAGAATGTTAGGATTGAAAGGATTGAAAACGTAGATTCCTGTTATCCGTAAGCTGAATAAAAGTGTTCCGCTAATCGTTCCATTTATCAGACCAAAATCATGCTGTTATATAACCCTCGCAGGTCAACTATAAGTAAACTTCGTCAGAACCTTTTCTATCTGTGTATTAATTCGTGAGCCTTTTTTGCATTACTTCTGCGGAACTACTTTTGCAAAACAAGCAAAAAAATTTTTTTTGGATAAACTATGACTGCTATACCCTCCCATTTTTATCCCCTTGCAGAGCAAAAGGGTATTATAATTTCAGTCACAAGTTTACAACGCAGTAAAGGAGACACCTCAGACCCCATAAAGTATATATATTCTTGATCACCATCACGATCAGAATCCAAATACGTCTGTACGTCTGTCCGTCTGTCTGTTCAAACTAGTCTCTCAGTTTTAAAGTTATCTTGCTGAAACTTTCCCAAAAGTTGTGTAGTTATTGCACGCAGTACATAAGTCAAAACGGGCCGGATCGGCCGACTATATCGTATATGTAGCTTCCATACGAGAGAATGAAATAAAAAATTTGTAAGCAGTTGTTTTTGATCAGATCGACTTGATTTATTCCAGATGGCGTTTTCTACTACTATTGAATTTCGGTTTAAATTTTTATCGAAATCGGTTAAATCTATCATATAGCTGCTATAGGAAAGATCCAAAAATATATATAGAAACTAGCAAACTTCGTTTCGCCACCTGATGGCAACGTACTCTTCTAGCAATCACTGTATTACGACCTATGTTCCAACAACGTCGTTGGACTGTGAAACGGCGTGGTTGTCGTTGTTCTAATCTTCTGACTTCATTGCGTTCAGCTCGTGCATCTTCTGACCCTTCTCTGACTTCATTGCGTTCAGCTCGTGTATCTTCTGGCTCCTCTGACTTCATTGCGTTCAGTTCATGTATCTTCTGGCTCTTCTTGATGCAATTGCGCTATTCTTTCGGATCTTCTATTTCGCATGTATCGAGATATACTTGTATCATGGCTCAAATCTCCCCCTTTGCGTTTTCTTGGTATTGCTCACTGGACAAAACACTCATAAATAGAATTAATGATTTTAGTTAATGAATGATTTTTGCCGTAGTTTAAATTGATTTAAAATGCTATGGTAGCGTGTTTTTGTCAGTGTGATGAGATAGTAACTTACTTTATATGCCATTTTTTGTATGTCGAACAGAACTTAAGAGGATGAATAACACTGTGCGACAAAATTTAACGAAATGTTTGTTTAAGTTACTTTTTTGATTGTTTTCGGTTAAGATGCACAAATTATGCACAAAAATATCTATGCCACCTTCTAAGTGATAGGATTTCTTTTTTTATGATAAATTTTATAAAATTATTATTATGAAAATAATTAACACAAAATATTATTTTTTTTTTTTACTTCCAATAAACTATTATTTTTTTTTAAAGTGAATTTTTTTCCAGATTTTTTTTGGCTTTTTCAGAGGTATCCTCGCGTAACAAGTTCCATACGCAGTCGCCCAGAGTATAAAGCTGGGAGAAAAAAATTTTAAAGCATTGTTATAAAAGCCTAACGGTATATTTTCTTAATACATTTTAATTAATAGATATTGAACTTGCATAAAACGCTTATAACGGTGAAAAAATATTTTCCCAATATGATATTATAAGGCTGTGAAATATGCAAAAACACGCGTTTTTGGGACATTTGAGTGTGCGTAGAAGCTGATTGGCTATTGATATTAACAAATCCAAAAACTTATATTCTTATTTTGACTAGTAGAAGTGAAAAATAAGAAAAAATCAACTTAAACATTTTTTTGTCGCACAGTGTAATAGATGTTGGTTGATTTTCAGACCTACTCAATACGCTCACAAAATTTCATGAAAATCGGTATAGCCGTTTCGGAGGAGTAGGGTAACAAAAACTGTGACACGAGAAATTTATATATTAGATAATGAAAAAAAATTCGTCTTGCCGAAGCTAGCTTCCTTTCTTGTTTTTATAAAAATCTACTGTAATACTTTTTTATTTATTCGACCTTTTGCTGTTTCAGAGTGGCTGCCTCACAACTTGCTACCCTCGGATGTCCAGAGTTAATAGCGCGTACAAGGGAAGAATATCAAAATATTGCTATACGCCTGGGAACTAGAAAAGAATATTTAAAAGCCCTACGAGCAAAAGTGTGGAAAGCACGCGTGGAAAGTCCATTATTTGACTGCTCACAGTATGCCAAAGGTTTAGAAAAATTGTTTTTACGAATGTGGGAAAAATTTCAAAAGGGTGAACTCCCCGATCACATTTCTGCAGCGTAAAAATCAGTATAATTGTGTCAATTGTTGTTTTGACATAATAGTTGCAAACAGAAGATGTTTATCAAATTTCAGCATAAAAATAAGAAAAACCATTTATAATGTTGTATACGTATTTAACTTTTCTATAAGAGAAATGGCATACCCAATTTCATTTATAAAACTTTGCTATTAAGACGTTACTTTTGATTAGAAATAAACACAGTTATGTCAGTTAAAATTATAAGACTTAGCTTGTAAAAAATGCTGGTAATTAAAAAACTAATAAAATGAATATTTTTGTTTTGTTTTTTTAATTTGCTGGTTTTTTCATTATTTATGCACACGCTTAGAACCTTGAAATTTATTTTCCGCAGTGAAAAAAAATTTTGCTACTGTCAATGACAGCAAAAGTGTTTTTATATCGCTCCGCCGTGTTACTAAAAATACATCGCAAATAGCCTTACGCTCGGGGTACGCATGGGTAGGTGTGTTCATGTTGTCTATGGAAATTATCAAATAGTATTCTAATTTCCTAAAAACAAAGGATAATATAGCTTGTCAAAGCTAACTTTTAAGAGCGTAAGCTCTGTTACGAAGAGCCATAATGAGCAAGGCTGGACAACCACAACAAAACGAACGTCGGCTATAGCCAATCGGAAGCAATGCTTACTTCCCTATAAGAGCGAAAGAATTATCAGTACCAACAGAAACTGCAGCACTGCAAGCGAATACAGAGAGAACACGCTTATGTCCCAGCGGCATGGCAGAAAAACAGCCGTGGAGTGCCCAATGCCGTCCCCCGACCCCTACAACATTACCAACGATGCTGATGCTGATAACAACAAAGACCAGCACAATGCCAGTGTTTAAGACGGTGACATCGACACTAACGGCGACTACAACCACTACAACAACCACATAAACTGCAGTCTCTGTTTCGTCAGCCCTTACTGACAAGCGGGCCAATACCCAACCCAATAGTACTAAAAACGTTAACTGATCGTTAATTCAAACAGGAATCGATCGGTACGTGCAAAACTTAGCCCAAAAGCAGCGAAAAAAACAAATGCTTCAAAAGTCACGAAGAAAGTTGAAGCCACTGTACCAAACAATGCGCTAACAGGAAATCGGTTTTCTATTCTGAGTGACCCAAAAGAAGTTAACACCGCTCAAAAACCTCAGGCCAAGCAACTAAGGCCACTGCCAATTTTTGTACGTCAGGCAAATGGTTCCGAATTGGTAAAAAAAATAACTGACCAAATCGGAGCAAACATTTCCTAGGGGAATCGAAAAAGACTATCGATATGTTGCCAAGCATCTTGACAAGGGAGAAATAAGTTACTACACCTACTAACTTAAAAGTTGCAAAGGACTACAAGTAGTTATCAAAGGTATAGAAGCCCTATAAATTAGATAATAGCTAGACTTAAAGAAAAGGGATTTAATGCCAAACAGGCTAGGAATATCTATATACTACTAAACCCGGCGAATTCCGTTCCGCCACCAGATGGCGATAGTTTTACGTTAAATTTCGTTTGATGATTGTCGGGTCATCCAGCCGCAGCAGATATTTAGGTTCTCTTTATGCTAGCTCTTAGCTTATCTGCATAATTACCATCGCTCTCTCTCTCTCTTTATCTTTCTATACGCTCTCTCTCGTTGCTTGTTGGTTTATACTTTGGGTCAGCAATCGGCTGATCCGCGTCTCAATTCAATTGTAATACTTCTTTTCGATCCCGCGGACCATTGTAACTCTTTTTCGTCGAAAATAAAATCGCTGCTGCAGAAATCGAAAACAAAATTTTCTTCGTGCATAATTAACTTCAACAGCTAATAAAAAAGCTTATTAGCTCAACATTGGTGACCCCGACGTGATTTGTGCATAAAAGGGACTCAGTGCAAGTCACAAAAATTAGTTAATTTTACCAGGCTGCATATTTTGCTTTATCTGTGTTGCAGCTACATTGTGCGTTTACCTGCCATAAACAACACAAATATTTATAAATTGATTTGTGAAAATAATAACACAGACTTGTACATAAGGCGGTATATAGACCAGCAGCGGACCAATTTTTCGCATTCTCCTTTGCGCTCATCTTCCCGCTGAAGCCAAATTTTGCCCGTTGAGTCTGCTGCATATCTCACTTTGTGTTTGTTGCAAAACAATAAAATTAATTGATTTATGCAAATAATAGCACTCTGGTTACACAAGCTTTTACATAAGGCGGTATATAGACCAGAAGCGGACCGATTTTTCGCTGTTCCCCGTTACGCTTATCTTCCCGCTGAAGCCGAATTTTGCCCGCCGAATCTGCTGCATTTATTTTGTTGTTGTTGCTGCTTAACATGGCTTCAGAAAATTCGGTTAGCGTCACCGACAATTGCAATTCAAACAGGGTGACATTTTTGAAGCGCAAGGCAACTTCAATGTTTAAAAGAGTGGAGCGGTTAATGGTATCCCTTTCCAGTTCGGCTTTGAATTCTTTTGACGATTTTGGCCTTCATGCGAGGTTGGAAGTTATCGAGGAGCTTCAAAGGGCGTTTAAATTGGATTTTAAGGAAATTGGAAATGACTTGGAGGAGAAATTTGATGATGTCGTCGTAACTCTGAAGTCGACGGTTCGATCGGAGATCACAAAGCGCTCCTCGCAACTGATTCAGTACTCAACCTTTGCCGATGGCAATACGCCCGGTCATTTCGGCCATCAGCAGCGGGAAGCTCTGCGCCGAGCGATTCCGCTTCCCGTTCTTGAACTTCCGAAATTCGCTGGAGGTTATGCGAATTGGTCAGATTTCTATTCTATGTTTACTACCATCATAGATAGTCATCCTGACTTGACCAACATTGAAATGCTGCAACATCTACGTTCATGTCTAAGGGATTCTGCGTTGGAAACCATCCGCTAGCTGGGAATTGCAATTATTCTGTTGCTTTAGACTTACTGCAAAACAGATTTGATAATCGTCGTTTGGTTTTTCAGGCACACATTACTGAGATCCTGGGGCTTAAGTGCAGAGTGGTTCCGTCTCGATGCTTCGTGAGCTGTCCGACAAATTTATCGCTCATATTCGTGCTTTAAAGGGATTGGGCACGACAGAACAAATCGCGGGATGCATCATCGTCCAAGTACTGCTTTAAAAGCTAGATCCTGCGAGCCAGGCAAAACGGGAGGAGCGGTTAGAGGATCCAGCAGTCGTCAATATAACTCCGACGTGGGAATCCATGGCATCATTTTTGGAGCAGCGATGCAGAACATTGGAGACTATGGATTTCGCCATGGCAAGCTATGCGTCTGGCAATCAGGTGGGAAATAACCGAACGTCTAATTCTCGCAGATCCCCTTTTGTTGCCACAAATAGTAACCCTTGGTTTTGTTCGTTCTGTAATGATTCTGGTCACTCCATCCGTTATTGTCAAGATTTTAAAGCCCTGCCCCCTGCTAATCGGCTTCAAGAAGTAAAGAGGCTCTCTCTTTGCATAAACTGCCTTAAGATAGGGCATCAATTGAGGCAGTGCAATTCCAGCAATTGTCGTGCATGCGGAGCTAAGCACCACACCCTCCTTCACTTGCGAAAATTTAATTTCAGCTTCTCCGCAGGCAGGACCACAGCCTCCAGAAGCTCTTGCCGCTGTCGCACCCAATACTGTCGTTGAACCATCTGCCGTGCCTTCCTCATCCACTGCTCTTATTGCTCAGGATTTCAGTACTGACATTGTGCTCCTTGCCACTGCCACAGTTCTCATAAAAAATCGATCTGGAGTTTTTGTTCCATGTCGAGCCCTTCTTGACTCCGGCTCTCAGCTTCAAACAAAGAAGATAAAGACTTTGGCTTCTGTTACTGGAATAGGTGATTCCAGCTTTTTTACAAATGGTCACTCAGTTAACATTACGATGCAGTCCCGAACGTCTGAGTACACGGCGAACATAACCGCAGTTATTGCTCCCAATATAACTGAGCGACAGCTTAGTTTCAATGTGGACATCGGCAGCTGGAAAATACCGCAGAACATACAATTAGCTGACCCTACGTTTTATGTCCCTCAGCGTGTGGATCTTTTGATTGGAGCCAGTTTGTTTTACGAGCTGTTGTGCGTTGGGCAAATTAAGCTCCCACCTGGCTTACGGCTTATACAAAAAACTCGCCTGGGCTGGGTTGTTTCCGGAGGATATGGTGTCTCCAATGGCTCATCGTTAATCTCGACCATTTCTTTGCCTACCGTTAGTAAGGATAATAGCTTGGATCGACTTGATGATCTTCTTCGTCGATTTTGGGAGGTGGAAAGCTGCGTCGAGCCAATTGCACATGCTACCAAGGAAGAGCTGGACTGTGAGGCGCACTTTACAAAGGATTTCATTCGCTCCCCTGCTGGAGACTATTCTGTTCGGTTGCCTGCCAAGCTCAATCTGGAATTATTGGGTGAGTCCTACCAGCAAGCTTATCGTAGATTCCTGTCCCTAGAGAGGAAGCTAGATCGTCGGCTAGCCTTGAAGGCCCAATATGCGGCTTTTATAAAGGAATAATTTGACTTGGGTCACATGTCAACAGTTGCTGGCGCAGACCTCGCTTCTTGTCGCATCTTTTTGCCTCATCATTGCGTCACAAAGGAGGATAGTTCCAGTACAAAGCTTCGCGTAGTTTTTGACGGATCTGCCGCTACTTCATCAGGCTACTTCTCAATCATGGCAGGCCCCGTAATTCAACATACCCTGTTCCAGATTTTAATACGATTTCGCTCATACCCGGTAGCCATCACTGGAGACATTTGTAAGATGTACCGTTGTGTCAAGGTACATCCAGAGGACAGCTATTTGCAATGAATTTTATAGAGGACTTCCCCACAGGACAAGCTGCAAGTGTTTAAGCTGGGCACAGGCACTTATGGCACGAAGCCTGCATCATTTCTGGCTGTGCAGGCTATGCATCAGCTGTCAAGAGACGAGCACTCTTCGTTTCCGCTTGGGGCTGAGGTCATTCAGCGCGACTTTTACGTAGATGATCTGATATCTGGAGCCCAGACCGTGGACGAGGCTATCATCATTGTAGATCAGACTTCTAAAATTCTGTCCAGAGGAGGATTTAAACTTAGAAAGTGGTGCTCAAACGTTCCAGCGGCTTTGGGTGGAGTGTCTGACGAAGATAAGGAGTCATATTTGAAGTTTGATGACGGCACTGACTTTATTAAAACTCTGGGTTTAGCCTGGGATCCTGCTTCTGATCAGCTCTTGTTCTCTTTATCTGTCTTGCAGTTGACCTCAAGTCCCTGTAGGCGATCTGTCCTGTCTGCCATTGCACGATTTTATGATCCTCTTGGATTGGTTGGTCCGGTGATAGCAAAAGCGAAAATTTTCCTTCAGCAATTGTGCAAGAAAAGGTTGTTCTGGGATGAAAGCCTTCCTGAAGCTCAGAATACGGAATGGAGTTCGATATGCAGGAGTTCTGTGCAAATCAAGCGTTTGTGTTTCCCTCGGCTAGTGCTGTCTCCAAACTCAGAGATTCAAGTCCATGGATTTTGTGATGCCAGCATGGAAGCATACGGCGCCTGTGTCTACATCGTGTGCAGTGGACAGTCACAGTTGCTTTGTTCAAAGTCAAGGGTTGCTCCCTTGAAGACACTCACCGTGCCCAAGCTGGAGCTTTGTGGAGCCGATCTCTTGTCTAAGCTCATAGAGGGACAGTATTATTGTTGGAGTGACTCTGCGGTTGCGCTCTCCTGGATCCGAGACGAGCCCTTCAGGTTCAACATGTTTGTGGCAAACCGAGTTGCTGCCATCCAAGAGCGAACCGATTCGATGGAGCGTTACGTTCCAACTTCTTTGAATCCGGCTGACATTCTCTCCCGAGGTGTCCTTCCCACTGAGCTGAGCGAGTCCCCTATCTGGTTTAACGGGCCGACATTTCTTTGCGGACCCAAGTGTAGGATTGGTATAGGATAGTAGGATATCCCTACTGTGTGTAAGTTAAGGATCTAGTATTAAGCATGAAGTATTTAGTATTTAAGTATTAATGTTAAGGATGTTAAGCTTTTAGGAATACGACCACACTCGAGAATAAGTCACAGAACCGACAAGTCGAAGCTAAGAGAAAGAGTGTAAAAGAAGTTGTAAAAGATGTTGAAGAAATATAAAGAGTAAAACGCGAAGTGTTCTGCAATTAATAAGGGCATTAAGAGGATTCTGGAAGTTCTATTAAATAAACATTTGTGGGTGGCTTTTATAAGTTATACCCTACAAATATTGGGGGCTCGTCCGGGAAATGAAATAGAACATTCTGGAAATTTCTTTTTGCGTCTTTTATAAGTGCGGATGTGTGTGTGCGCGTTGTGCGAAACAAGAGAAAGAGGATTGAAAACTGCGTAAAGTCGAGGCGTCGTGGAAATTCGTGGAAAAGGAAGTTTCCGAGAATTGGCGAAAAGATCGCGGGTTGATGGCGTCACACAGACAATCATAACGACGTGAAAAGTGGCAACCACGCATTTACTTACACATAACGATCGTCAAATCGGTGTAAGTATGTGTGTGGAACACGAGCAGGAGTGTGCAAGCAAGATCGAATATTGACGGCGTCGAGGGAGTTGCAGTTGAAGAGGTGCAAATCTAACGACACAGAGGTCGTGGATTGGCAGGCTGCAACAACAACAACGGCTAAACAGTCGTGAAGCAGTGCGACACAGAGGTCGACTGGTGACGGCGTCGAGGGAGTTGCAGTTGAAGTGGTGCGAATCTAACGACACAGAGGTCGTAGGTTGGCAGGCTGCAACAACAATTATCGGTCAGTGGCGAAGCAGTGTGACACAGGGGGTCCACTCCAGCAACAACAAGAAGTGACGGCGTCGAGGGAGTTTGCAGTTGAAGAGGTGCGAATCTAACGATACAGAGGTCGTAGGTTAGTAGGCTGCAACAACAATTGTCGGTCAGTGGCGAAGCAGTGCGACACAGGGGGTCCACTGTAGCAACAACAAGAAGTGACAGCGGCGAGGAAGTTCCAGTTGAAAAGTGGCAACCGCGCATTTACTTACACATAACGATCGTCAAATCGGTGTGAGTATGTGTGCGAACCACTAAGCAGGAGTGTGCAAACAAGAGGTGACAGCGGCGAGGGAGTTGCAGTTGAAGAGCGTCAAATCTAACGACACAGAGGTCGTGGATTGGCAGGCTGCAACAACAATTGTCGGTCAGTGGCGAAGCAGTGTGACACAGAGGTCCACTCCAGCAACAATAACTGCCGGAGGGCGGTAAAGCAGTGTATTCAAGGAGTCTGTGAGGGAGTTGCAGTTGAAGAGGTGCGAATCTAACGACACAGAGGTCGTGGATTGGCAGGCTGCAACAACAATTGTCGGTCAGTGGCGAAGCAGTGTGACACAGAGGTCCACTCCAGCAACAATAACTGCCGGAGGGCGGTAAAGCAGTGTATTCAAGGAGTCTGTGAGGGAGTTGCAGTTGAAGAGGTGCGAATCTAATGACACAGATTTCGTGGATTGGCAGGCTGCAACAACAATTGTCGGTCAGTGGCGAAGCAGTGCGACACAGGGGGTCCCCTCTAGCAACAACAGGAAGTGACAACGGCGAGGGAGTTGCAGTTGAAGAGCGCCAAATCTAGCGATACAGAGGTCGTAGATTGGCAGACTGCAACAACAAGTGGTGATCAGTGGCGAAGCAGTGCGACACAGGGGGTCCACTCTAGCAACAAGAGGTGACAGCGGCGAGGGAGTTGCAGTTGAAGAGGTGCAAATCTAACGACACAGAGGTCGTGGATTGGCAGGCTGCAACAACAATTGTCGGTCAATGGCGAAGCAGAGCGACATAGAGGTCTACTCCAGCAACAACAACTGCCGGAGGGCGGTAAAGCAGTGTATTCAAGGAGTCAGCGAGGGAGTTGCAGTTGAAGAGCGCCAATCCTGTGCGACAAGGAGGTCGTACATTGGCAGGCTGCAACAACAACAACGGCTAGAGAGCCGTAAAGCAGTGCGACACAGAGGTCGACGGCTACAACAAAGAGGAGTGACATCGTCGAGGGAGTTGCAGTCGAGGAACGCCAATTCTGGGCAACACGAGGTTGTAGAATGTCAGACTGCAACAACAACAACAAACTAGCAAGCAGTGCTATCGACAAGGAATCGGTTAAGTAGAGCTACGTGAGATCATGGATGCCAAAACAATATTGTCTTTAAGAGTGGAGGAGTTGCGACAACACTTAAGAACTTTAGAGTTAGAGTCCACCGGTAGAAAATCCGTGCTGCAGGATAGACTGTTAGAGCATTACAATCTAGGAGATGTCGAGGAGGATGAAGAAGAGCAAGAGACGCACTCAGTTAAGTCTAGAGAGTATCAAGAAGCAGAGACAGATGGTTTTAAGAGCGCATCAAGATTTACGCTCCAAGATGTTCAAGATAGTGTATCACATTTTTCAGGATCAGATCAACCAGATATCGGTCAGTGGGTATCTGAATTTGAAGATTGCGCTGCAACGGTAGGTTGGGATAGCGTACAGAAGTACATCTACGGGAAGCAACTGTTGCAAGGAGCAGCAAAATTGTTTGTGAGAGGTCTAACAGGCGTAAGAGGATGGGAACAATTGAAGGCAAAGCTGCGAGCCGAGTTTGGCAAAACAATGTTGGCAGCTGAAGTACATAAACAACTGAAGAACAGAGTAAAACTTGATAAAGAGTCGTTAAGTGAGTACCTGTATAGTCTGATTGAGATTGGGAAGCAAGTCAAGTTAGACGAAGCAAGTCTCATATGGTACTTCGTGGATGGTGTTCCAGATAGTAAATTAAACAAGAGTAATTTGTACCGGTGCAGGACGCTTAATGAATTGAAAGCAGAGATAAACATTTACGAAAGGATCAAGGAGAGTACCGAGAGCGGCAGTACAAGAAAACCAATTCCCCAGATTAAGAAGAAATGTTTTAAATGTGACAAAGAGGGACACTTTTCGAAGGAATGTAGTGAGGCAGTTTTATGCTTTAAATGCAATAAAACTGGTCACATTGCTAAGGATTGCAACCAGGAGAAAACAATCGAAGGGAATGAGAAGTCTAGATCGATGTCAAAAGACGGAATCAGTACGGTCATATGCGTAAATGACGTATACTTTGTCGCAATGATAGACTCAGGATGCGATCTGAGTTTGATGAGGGAAGATCTAATGGAAAAGCTAAAAGAAGTTAGTCTAAGGAAGGAGACAAAGAGCTTGCGAGGCATAGGGACTGGAAAAATTAAAACGATCGGACAGTTTGAGACAGTAGTGTCAGCAGGGGATGTTTGCTTTAATGTAACTTTTAATGTAGTCAAACAAAAAGACATTGAGTATGCAGCCATCATTGGGAACGACGTTTTGAAGGAAGTAGATATCATTTTTAGTTCAGGTGGAGTACAATTCAGGGAAAAAGAAGTATCCGAGATATTTAAAGGATTGTGCGTGAACGAAATGATCACTGAACCTAGAACCTCAGAGGAAGTGCAGTTAAATCATCCTAGTAAGGATTTGAGAGGTGAGGTTGAACAGTTGATAGACAGCTACGAAGCAGAGAAAGAAATAGAGTCGCCAGTGAGAATGAAAATGGTGGTTGAAGACGATTTTCCTGTTTATCAGTCCCCATATAGAATTCCATACGCAGCACCAGTAGTTCGGGTTGGTAAGAAAGATGGTTCGAAGAGACTTCGTTGTGATTTCAGGATAGAAGAGGAGTCTATTTCTCCCTCAAAGGACAAATTTGAGGCGGCGTTACAGTTTCCGATTCCAAAAACGAAGAAGCGCAAAAGAGGAAGATTGAAAAGAAAATCATGGACGATACGAGGTAAAGGTTGCCAAGAAGGTCCAAATCACACGTTTACAGCAGGAGAGTTTATGAAAGTGGGTTTAGTTCGGGGCAAACTAAGATTCAAGATTGCCGAATGTAGGATTGGTATAGGATAGTAGGATATCCCTACTGTGTGTAAGTTAAGGATCTAGTATTAAGCATGAAGTATTTAGTATTTAAGTATTAATGTTAAGGATGTTAAGCTTTTAGGAATACGACCACACTCGAGAATAAGCCACAGAACCGACAAGTCGAAGCTAAGAGAAAGAGTGTAAAAGAAGTTGTAAAAGATGTTGAAGAAATATAAAGAGTAAAACGCGAAGTGTTCTGCAATTAATAAGGGCATTAAGAGGATTCTGGAAGTTCTATTAAATAAACATTTGTGGGTGGCTTTTATAAGTTATACCCTACACAAGTTTGACTGGCCTTCCCCAATCCTTGCTGAGAAGTCAACGCTTGAGCTTCGTCGAAAGGTCCTGTTAATTAAATCGACATACGTAGACATCGTAGCCTGTTAAAAATTTGCAAATTCCTTCTCTGCGCTTCAAAGGATTTTCGGATACGTCTGCAAATTTATCAATCGCATTCGGCAGCCGGATCTTAAGGTGTCGGATATCCAAAGCGGTACTCAGTTGTTGCTTCGGCTGGTTCAGCGTTCTCATTTATGGGAAGACATAAAACCCTTGCAATCTAAGGGAATTGTAGCCCTTTCTAGTTCACTTGCGTCTCTATCTCCCTTTATTGATCATTTTGGGCTTCTTAGAGTGGATAGCCGACTAAAAAACTCGTCGCTGGATTTTAATAGCCGTCATCCAATCATATTGCCACGGAGCCATCCTGTCATAGCCGCCGTCATTACTCACTTTCATGAGCGTAATCTGCACACTGGACCTCGGGCCCTTCTCGGCATAATTCGGTCCCAGTATTGGCCTATTGGGGGGAGGAAGACGGTAAGCAAGGTCTTGAACAAATGCGTCAGATGCTTTCGAACGAAGCCTCGATTAGTGGAGCATGTAATGGCGGATCTCCCAAAGGAGCGATTGGATGGATCGCATGCATTTGAAGTCACTGGCATTGATTTTTGTGGGCCATTCTTTTACAAGCCGGAAGTGCGAAACAAGGCCCCAGTAAAATGCTACGTTTGCGTCTTTATCTGCTTCGCAACAAAGGCCATTCACTTGGAGTTGGTCAGGGATCTCTCAACGGTAACATTTCTGCATGGCCTCAAGAGATTTATATGCGCCAGAAGGAGACCGCTGCAGATTTGGTCGAACAATGCAACGAACTTTGTGGGTGCACGCAATGAGCTGCTTGAGTTGAGACGCCTATTCCTCAGCGACGAGCATCAGAAAGCGACGTTGGATTTTTGCCTAGCGGAGCTTATTGATTGGCGCTTTTTTCCTCCCAGATCGCCACATTTTGGTGGTCTCTGGGAAGCTGCGGTGAAGACGGCGAAGTACCATTTCTACCGCGCTATTGGGCCTTCAGTGTTGACCTTCGACGAGCTGCGGACTCTTCTGTGCCATATTTCGGCAGTAGATAACTCCCTGCCTTTAGTCTCAATTTCAGAAAATCACGCTGATCTGGATGTGCTAACGCCAGCCCACTTTCTGAATGGTGGCCCACCATTCTCATTCATCGAGTCGGATGTGACCGCCCTCAACTTCAATCGGTTGGATGGATGGCAACGTGTGGCCTACTTGCAGCAGGTCTTCTGGACCCGATGGAAGGAAGAATACCTGACGCTACTGCAGCAGCGCTCCAAATGGCGTACCCCGAAGCCTGGCCTAGTTGTCGATGACGTGGTGCTGGTCAAGGATGAGAACTTGCCTCCGATGAAGTGGCCCCTAGCGAGAGTCGTTGAGCTTCTGTGTGGTCGAGATGGAGTTGCTCGAGTTGCCGTCCTCAAGACAACATCTGGAGTGACAAAACGAGCAGTTAATAAGCTGTGTCTGCTGCCCCTTAAGGATGCTGTTGAAAGCCAGGCCTCCAACGGGGGGAGTATGTCGGGTCATCCAGCCGCAGCAGATATTTAGGTTCTCTTTATGCTAGCTCTTAGCTTATCTGCATAATTACCATCGCTCTCTCTCTCTCTTTATCTTTCTATTCGCTCTCTCTCGTTGCTTGTTGGTTTATACTTTGGGTCAGCAATCGGCTGATCCGCGTCTCAATTCAATTGTAATACTTCTTTTCGATCCCGCGGACAATTGTAACTCTTTTTCGTCGAAAATAAAATCGCTGCTGCAGAAATCGAAAACAAAATTTTCTTCGTGCATAATTAACTTCAACAGCTAATAAAAAAGCTTATTAGCTCAACAGTGATTAAAAGGTAAAGAAAATTTTTTTTTGTTTTATAAATGAAAAGGAATAATTTTATTTCATTTCACAAAAGTAATGAATTCATGTCGATTACAAAAATCAAGTGTAAATAACACGAAACTAAATAAGTTGAGCTTCTCTAAGTAAATGATAGTGAATCCAAAGTAAATGCAGAAACGAAGCGTTATACGTTTCCGCGAATTATCCGTTTCATTGAAGTTGTAGTGATACAATCAGGGTCTTTTCTCTTCAGTGGTCGCAGCAAAAGTGATCTTTATTTCATCATCTCTGTTAATGCTTAGCCTATTTCACAATCTCGTATGTGCAAGAGAGAGAGACGTACATACTTAGAGATGGGTTTACATGGTGTTTCTTAAAGGAGTAAGGGGGGACATAAAGGATGACTTAACTTAAGGGATACACAATAACGTTAACTGCTTATCAAGCAGTGCTTAATAATAGGTATATGTACATAGGGCTGCTTGCTACAATTCGGCCATCCTGACCGGAGAGCTCCTGATCTCTTATCTATTTACAGTGTTTATCCATGGACGCATATTTGCTACTGCCCAGACTCCTTTATAAGGAAGTCTAGACTGTTGAAACCCTTCAACATCCTCCAAGACATACCTATCATTACGCAGTACTTTAGTCACTCTATAAGGACCTTTAAACTTTGGAATTAGCTTCTTAGACACGCCTATGTGAGAGTCGAAATTCTTTATCACAACTAAATCGTCGAATTCATATTTAAGAGGATCTTTTTTTTTGGAGTCTGTTCGTACCTTATTATATTTTTGCAACTTTTCAATACTTTCACCAGCCTTATCTCTAATTTTCTCTAAATCTCTACTTTCATTTTTATTTAACTCTTCTAAACTCTCTTTAAACTATCTATAACCTTACCCTTTTGAGACTCTCCGAACAAGACCTGGCTTGGATGTTGATTGATTGACCTTTGCATTGTATTATTAAGGGTGTATTCAACTGTTTCTAAAACTGTGTCCCAGTGCAATCCTTTGTCTGGTTCAGTCAGTTTCGCAATCATCTGGCCCATGCTTCGATTTACCCGCTCTACTTGACCACTAGCCTGTGGGGACCCGGTAGCTATTTTTATATGTTTAACATCATTTTCCTCTAGAAAGTCTTGAAATTCTTTGGATGTAAAACATGTTCCTCGATCTGATATCACACATCTTGGCCTACTATAGAATCTAAAATAGTCTTTTAATGCTAATATTGCTTCTCTGGATTTTGTAGTTTTTGCAGGATAAAGTCTGACGAACTTTGTAAACGCGTCTATAATGACTAAAACGTGTTTATTGGATCTACTCTTATCTACAGGACCATAGTGGTCAATGGTGTATAACGTCAAAAGGGATTGTTACCTTGGGAATGTTGTGCAGAAAACCTTCTTCTTTTCCAGACTTTTCCGAATAAGCAATACATTTTAACCAATTACTAATGTGTTGCTTGTATTTTTCTCTAACTTTGGGAAACCAGTAACTTTTTGAAATAATTTCTACCATCTTGTCTATACCAACGTGTCCTAACTGATTATGATAATTAAATAGCACGTGACTTTCCATTTCGTTTGGCACATAAAATAAAAGAAAGTCCTTATCTTTCTTTCGGTAGACTATTCCATTTCCCATTTCATAATCCTTGAGTTCTGTCTGTTGTAACTTTTCCAAAATGCTTTTGATTTTAATGTCTCTGCTTTGGCAAATAATCAGGTTCTCCTCAAATGAATTCGTATCGATTGTGAGTATGTGTGTGTTCCTGCTAAGTGCGTCAACGTGTTGCATACGCTTCCCCGCTCTATGTTCTAAACTGTAGTCAAAATCCTGAAGGAATAGCGCCCACCTTGCAATTCTTGGGCTAAGTTCTTTCTTATTTAGTGCAAGGGTGAAAGCACTACAGTCTGTGACTATTTTAAATTCTTTTCCTTGAAGATAAATCCTAAAGCGTTGTAAGGAGTAAACCACCGCGAGCGTTTCTAGTTCGAAACTATGGTATTTCGCTTCTACATCGGTCGTGCGTTTAGAAAAATAGAATACCGGATGAAACTTGTTATCTTTCTTTCTTGGCATCAGAATCGAACCGAATCCTAGGGCGCTAGCGTCACAGTGAAGCTCTGTAGGGTCTGTTGGATTATACAAAGCTAAAATAGGGGCTTCTAACAAATTTGTTTTCAACATTTCGAAATTTTCTAGCACTGTTTCACCGAATTCAAATTTCCTATCTTTTCGAACGAGATCGTACAATGGCTTTGCGTTAGTTGAGAAGTCTTTAACGAATCGTCTAAAATAAGAGCATAATCCAAGAAAACTCTGAACTTCGTGTGTTTTTGTGGGTACAGGAAAGTCTCTTACTGCTTGCATACCTTTCGAATCAGGTTTAATACCTTTTCCTGATATTATATATCCCAAATATTTTATTTCACTTTGAAGGAACTCGCATTTGTCTAATCTTAGCTCAAGCTTGTTTTCTGCCAATCGCTTAAAAACTTCAGTTAAAATTTCTATGTGACTTTCACTATCCTTTGTTGCAATTAAAATGTCGTCCATATAAATAGAACCTTATCCTCTCTAACCAAATCAGCGAAAATTCTGTTAACGAATCTTTAAAAGACTGCAGGGGCGTTTCGTAAGCCAAACGGCATTCTAAGCCATTCAAATTGTCCCTTCGGAGTTGTAAAGGCGGTAAACTTAAATGAATCCTCGTGCATATGTACATGAAAGAATCCATTTTTAAGATCTAACTTGGTAAAAATAACTTTTTCGGAAAGTTTATCAATATTATCGTCTACTAAAGGGGTGGGGTAATTATCTTTAAGCATGTTTTTGTTAAGGGTTCGATAATCTACGCACATTCTTAATTCTCCAGACTTTTTCTTAACCAGCACTATAGGTGAAGCATATTCCGACTCACTGACACGTATGATACCGTTTTTAATATATTCATCTAAAAAATTCTGAACCTGACCTTTCTCTGCGTATGACAAACGTCTTGGAGGGTAATTAAATGGTTTCGTATTTTCAAAATTCAGCTTCATTTCCCATTTAGCTAAAGGAATATCCGGACGTTTTGCTTTCTTATAAAATTTGTCAAAAATGTCAATCAGTTTTTTTCTGAACTTGAGATCACACCTATCACTTATGTTTAATTGACTACATTCGGCTGGATCGGGATATTCAATCGACAATATTTCTGACTCGTTCTTTTGACATCCTAATTTCTCAAACTCATTTGTATCAACTAATCTTTCATCTTCAATTCTATTCATAGTGCAATCATTTTCAACATTGCAATCTGTTTTTACATTTCCATTAGTCCAGCCATAATTTTCACAATCATTTTCAATACTGTCATCATAATCACTTTTTATAAACCTTTCGTTCACGTTGTAGTTTTCTAAACCTCTATCATGTTCGCGATCATTCTTAATACTATCTCTTTTAGTTTTACTATCATTTGAGCAATCAATACTTAACTTTTTATTATTTGACCGATCAATTTTTGATTTACTATCATTTGTACGATCATTTTCCGAATGTCTATCATTTGAGCGATCAATTTTAAACGTCCTATCATTTGAGCAATCATTTTCCCTAACAATCTTAAATTTACATACGTTCATAAAATCTCTTCCCAATACAGCATTATATGCCATCAATTTGTTCGCCACAATTAGTAATTCAAAATTTAATTTCTCATTATTCATCAAAACAAAACATGATATTTTTCCTCGTGCATCTAAAGGACTGTTATTTAAGCCAAAGTAATTTCTATCAACATTTCCACTTATATTTATATTTTTTCTCTTCGACAAGCTTTCGACGCAAGATATTTTGATAAAACTAATTGGACTCCCAGAATCGATCAGGCATTCTACTAGCAAGAATTGACTAGGCTGTGAACTAGAGTAAATTTTAAATGATCTTACATATTCGTTGCTTTTTGGGCATTTCTTCTCGGTACATTGGGACACCAGGTGCTCCAGACTTCCACAGGCGTAGCAAGCACCGAATTCGCGCTTAGGTTTGCGGCAGTCGGCCGCAAAGTGTCCAACGGAGTTGAAGCATCTTTTGTTAAGCATCTGACCAGGTCCATTTGCAGCAGCGACATTGGGGCGTCCAGGCCCAAACGATGGTGGTTTTCGCAAAACGACTTTGGAAAATGCCTGCAACAGCTGCGAAGAGGAGTTGAAGCAGTGCATGTGTGCCTGTTGTCGCAAAAGAGTATCCGGGATTCCTTCAATGATGTTGTCGATCAGTTCTTCGTCGTCCATCCGAATGTGAGAAGCTAGCCGTCATTGTCATTGAAGTATGTCGAAAAATCTTCAGTGTATATCCACTTGCGCTCCTGGAACTTACGGCGAGACATTATCTTACTTTCTTTGCAATGAAAAACGTTTGCAAGCTGAGTTAGAAGCTCTGGAGCTGGCAAGGTCAGCAGGTTCTCCTCAGAGTGCAACCAAACCTGGGCACGATCCCTCAATTTTGACATCACTAGCATCCGGATTACGTCGTCGCTGAGCTTATAAGTTTTAGTTATAGCGTTGAGCTGTGTTGACAGGCATGTGTTGACTGGCATGTTGCTGCTATCCGCGCCGTCAAAGATTGGAAGCATTTCCTAGGCCATAGCTAGCAAAGAGTTGTTGTTCAAAAACGTTGTGTTGGACTTCGTATTTTCCATGACGTTTCCGAAATCCGATGAGGCAACATTGTCTTTTTTGGATGAGGCAACGTCGTCTTGTTGCATTTCGTTGTCCGAAGAGGCGGTCACACTATTTAATGGCTGACGCCGCGACCCTACCAATTTCAGTAACTCGTTTTCCAATTGGAGCAATTCCAACTGACGCACAGTGGGCGATTTGGTCTCGCTAGCGGCATTTAATTAATAACTTCTAAACTAAAATAGATATCTTCGGCCGTTTTTTTTCACCGATCAAAGAAAAATCATAAAATTTTTTAAGTTAAAAACAAGTTTTTTTTTAATACTTTTTTATTTTTTTTTTATTTAAAAAAAAATATTTTTTAATTTTAAATTTTGATTTATTTTTATTTTTTTAAACTTCAATTAATATATTCCATAAACAAACATAATTTAAAAATGGCTAGAATTTTATTCAGAATCATCGGAATCATAATAAGGCGGCATAGTAAAAATACTGAAATATACTAAAAAAGATCCCTTTTTGCTACTGACATTGTGCCTTAAAAGTACCATAGTTTGAAGGCTAGCAGGTACTAGCAGTTCATATTACACACATTGGACGCCACTGATTCACACTTTCGGCTAATAAAAGAGTTAGACTGAATCCACTTGAATCAGGTAAGTTCTTCTCCACGAAAGACAGGTGTACGCTAATCCGGGCTCGTTGTTAATACACTGAATTGCAACTACGTTTTATGAGCTACACATTTATAGACCGGTCACAAACATTAATTTTTTTTGTAATGCATACTTTGAAATTAATAAAAAACCAAACTTTTAATAAATTCACTAAAAATTTTAAATTTCCGAGGAACTTGAATTCGATGCGCGCAAACAGGTAAAATTTTGTAAAGTTCTTTGCAAAATCATTTTCTGTGTTTGTCCGTTCACAGCTGATCATCGTAGAGCTTTTAAAATGCTTGGATAAATCTAATCAAAGTATCTATTATCGAATTGTGAAAAAAATCATCGCTTTTTAAAAGTTGAAATTCGAATTAAATGCTGCTAGCGAGACCAAATCGCCCACTGTGTGACGCTTCAGCAACTCCAATTCTGATGAAGTTTCTGGAACATTCACGTGGTTCTGAGAAGTGATGTTATTTTGGACAACTAGCGACGCAGCCTTAGCGTCAACTTCCTCGATTCCAGCTTCAGTTACGGGGTTCTCTTTGGGGTCTAATTTTGGGCATACTCCACGGGCTTCGGGGGGCACGCCATTAAGACGCGTGGCGAGCTTTGCCTTATTGCCGCTCCTCTGCATACCAAGCTCTTTAAGCCAATTTCGTAGATCAGCTGCTGTGTAGTCGTCTGCGCCAATATTTTCCATTTTTCTTTTAAAATAAACTTTAAAAACTCGTAGGCAGAGTTTTAGGTGCGAGAAAAAGAAATTTTCGCACTAATCCCACTTCTGAAATTGTA